CCCGACAGTCTGAGTCACAGCAGACTACACTAAATAAACCACTGTCCCTCTGTGGGCCCTTTATCAAAAGAGAGTGAGTAAAGGCAAACCGAGTTGTTATTACATTGAGATGGAGCTGCCCCAGGGCCCGTCATGGTCAGTGTTCTGTGTTTCAGTCGTGTCTGAGCATTGTAAAATGTCAGGGTGTGAAATCTCAGACACTATGGCTTTGGAATATCAAATTAATTTGAATTAAACACCTTTGAAAGTCTTTCACTGCAAATTTGGGTGAAAATGGCAACAAATCAAATCTTTCGTTACAAATCATTTTTGGCTCACTGGGTGCATCAAAAGTAATGGTGATGAAGATCCTTCTAACCGAGATTGCATTTGAAGAGATGCTTAGATTTTGGCAGCGTTCAACGCGTTAGAAAACGCAATGACAAATTCTAAATGCCAAAAGTGTAATCTTGGAAAAGCATCAGATATACTGAGGGATTGATTATTTCTTGATTTCTGTCTTTTCCTGTCTAATATCAGCAGATGTACTCACACAGTCATCACATTTATGCTTAAGCATAAGATGTATATGAAGGATCACATGGTTACATACAATCCTGATTTGTAATTTTGTGACTTTTTTTTTTTATTGTCTGCCATGACTGTTTTGGATCCAGCTTTGAGGTGTTGCTGATTGAACAAATCAGTTATTTGTGATGCATATTTTTGGGCAAATGAATTGAAGAGGAAGCAAAAGTCGAAGTCAAGAAGACTTAATTCCTGGTTTGGTGACTATCTAATAACAAAAGAACCACCCACTGAATATTTTAGGTTAATGAATACTGTGTGCAGTCAGTAGTTCTTTTCATTGTGACCACACCAGGCGTTTCACTGCGCAGTTGGCCTAATCTAAACATCCACATATCTCGGATTAGGATTATTAGGTTGAAAACCACTTGATATTCACAAGTAACCTAATACTTTGTGTCAGTCTTTGCTTCGTTTATCGCCAGAAGAAGAAGAAAATCTGCTAAATTAGTGAAGAATAATAACAGTATCCCCAGTGCTTAGCTGCCCCCGGTCCATGCGTCCTTACCTGTCTGTCAGGTGCTCTGCTCTCCAACGCCTGCTGAGCCTGCGGGCTCCGAGGATCCCAGACCTGCCCACCCGGTCTCCGGTGGCTTACCCGTTGGGCGAAGGCGGCTGGAAACCAGTCAGCGGTACTGGGAGGACTGGACGAGCGGAGACGAAACGGTAAGGTATCCAGCACCGGAGAGGAGGAAAACTCCATGTTCATACCCAGAACATCCTGAGAAAAGTGATGCCGGGCAGTGAATGGCAGTGTGCTGTCAGCTGAAGTCTGGTAATATGTGGCGTCGACGAGACTGAGCCGCTAATTGAGGAGGTGGGAAACAATAAAGGCATTTTGGTTTAGTGCCGTGTTGATCTCAAACGGTCGTTTCTGTCTGTGCGCTGACGGATCCTCATCCGCTTTTCTGGACTCGGGACTCCCCCCTCCCCCCCTCCCCCTCTCCCTTTGACATCAGATTCCGGTTCAGTTCTTTACTACATGTATTGCCAAAACATCTTGTAAATTAGGATAAAGAAAAACAAAGCTATGAGATTAAACTGAAAACAACCATGGGCACTTACATCAGAAGTTCCATGAAAGTTAATATTACTTGTGTCTGGCTGTAACAGTTCTTTCCTTTGTCAATTCATCTGCTAGTTTATTAATCCAGTAACTGATTGGTTATGCTCACCAGAATGCCCTAAAACCCAAGGTCAGCCCATGAAATTGTCTGTTTTGTGTGACTAACAAGCCAAAATGTTAAATAAATATCTAAATTTACCCAAAGCAGCAAATACTCACAATTAGTAAGCTGGGATCAGAGAATGTCTGGAATCTCTGCTTGAAAAGTAGCAAACAAGTGTCATCAGTCGCCTCCTAAATGAATCAAATTGGCTTTTCTTATACCTTTCAGGGCAATTTGACATAGGTCGACAGGTTATTTGTTTTATGTAGGACCCAATGCCTGGTTTCTTCCTCCAGTATCAAGTAAATGTTTCATTGTGTGGCATCTTAAAGCTTGGACGAGCTTTATGGGTTCTAATAATGTTTAGCTATAGCGGTTTTATGTTTTAGACAGAGAAATACAGAGAAATGTATCCGAGTTTGATTTCTAGGTGGCAATCACCAACTGGCTCTCATGGTTTTCATGAGTTCATATAATGACCTTTCATCATTTCCACTTCAGTTGTCCCTACCTCTTGACTATCTATTCAACTCAGTTCAGTTTTATTTGTATAGCGCCAAATCACAACAAAAATCGTCTCAGGACACTTTACAAACTAAGGTCTAGACCTTACTATTGTTATTATTATTTCTATTATAGAGGAAAAACCCAACAAATCCCCCTTGAGCAAGCACTTGGCGACAGTGGGGAAGTAAAACTCCCTTTAAAAGAAGAAACCTCCGACAGACCCCGGCTCTTGGTGGGTGGCCTTCTGCCTTGACCGGTTGGGGTGAGTGGATAGAGGAGAGACAAAAGAAGAAAAGCAACAAGACACAACAATCAATCACTGATCAGGTCGATGTGGCTGGTGACTGCTCATCAGAAGCATAGAGCTCCAGGGCAACCTGTAGAAAGGTACAGGGAGAGAGAGAGGACACACTACGGGAGAGAGGAGACACAATGAAATGTAATGGTGACATATAGATCCATGGAGAGAGAGGAGAGGAGCTCAGAGCACGATGAGAGCCCCCCAGCAGGCTAGGGCTATAACTAAGAGATGGTACACCAATCCAAACTTATCCCATTTTTTGTAAGAAATCCATGATGTAGAGGTTTTATCAGCCAACGTATACTGTAACCCACGAGCTGTCTTGTCAGTGAAATTTATGTGCTGCTCCTTGTTGCTGAAAATGACCTACTTAAACACACCCTCACTTAAAAGACATGTATGTGACAGCTGGGTTTCTAAGATGACATGAGAGATCAACTCCCAAAAGGAACATCCAGGTCTTCTGAGGAACTCACATAACACAGTAATGGACATCTCGGACCGGTTGTTTCCCTTCCTGAAGGAACAAAAACATACTGTTTTGATTGGAAACAGGAGAGGAGCAACCTGGCCTGATGAGCTCACATGATGGACCTGATGAAGGGTCATGTGGGGTCAAACCTGTTACCACCTGGTTTCAGGAAAGTCTCTGTAAAAGTTAGACCACCTGCCAATTGGACCTTTAGTGCCATTTAGTCAAAGATGTCTTTCTACCCCATTAATAAAGTATTTAAGCGAGAACACCCCTCTAATAGAGCGCTGATATTTTCATCTATAAACTGTCCATTCAAGTTATTTCCTGACAATTCATTAGAGACTCACTGAGCTGTGATGCCATTGTGCCCTCTGGTGTTACAGACTGAAACAGAGGCCTGTTTCCCAGCAGTCTGTTCTCATTGGACAGATCCAGCAAAGCAGAACATGAAGATTAGTTTTAATTAAAATCGCCTCCAGCCTGTGACCTGCGGAACTTAAGATCTACATTCAGCAATCTGTGATAGTTTTTAATATCCAAATTACACAGCCCACTGATCAATGCTGACGATAACTGCTGACTCAGACAAATCCAACAGCCTCTCCTCTGATGGCAATCTGCAAACAAATACACCATTATGAATGAGACAGACAACTGGTAAAACACATACGCACACACACACAGTAGTAGAATAAAGGGAGTTGTTTAAGTACTCCAAGAAAAGGGTCAGTTAGCAGTTTCAGTCGGGACAAAATCAGAAGAAAAAACAGACTTGGCTACAAGCCAAACAGCTCGAGTGCCTGCTCCTTATGGACACAGCAAAGCTGGACCTGGAGAGTGATGGTGCCACTAAATCAGTCTCACATCCAGCTGACTGCCAGCTTCTTTTCTGTCACCTGCACACACACGCACAAGTAATTAATGGTGTATGTCTGCATGCTTTGTAAGAAATAACAGTGCCAGGTGAGAGAGGTGTATGATATACTGTCCCATTGCGTGTGTGTGTGGCTGATTAACCGATGTAACAGCAACTGGACAAAGAAGATGAGGGAAACATCACCACATCACTGTTATTGTGTCTGAAAGAGCATATTTAAACACATAAGCACTTCTGCATAATCACAACAGGTGAGACTGGCTGAAACAAACACCTTAATTTAAAGGTATTAATTAGTAAAGTTGGTTATGAGTTTCACATTCATGCTGTCAGACAGCATATTCTTGTTGATAATGAGTGTAATTAAGGCACTAAGTGACTAGTTATCCAGCCTTCAGCTTTATTTTCTCTCTATTCTTTTATTGCAATTCTTCATTTCATCTTAATTAACGGTACATGTTTTAAAATGTTACATAAATAGAGATTGGTAGAGCCAGTATTTATCTATAAAGTACAAGTAGAGCTGAATGTGTGGGGGTTTAATAAATGTACCAAATTAGCCTAATTTAGGGCACAGTTATCTCAAATACTTGATCAATACACTGAATGAATGTCTGACAGGTTTTAATTGTCTTACTAATTCCTGTCCCCATGACTCATTGGAGGTGGAGTGGGTCGTTTCCTAACCGGAGGATTAGCAGTTCGATTCCCGGTTTGTACAGTCAACATGTCGAAGTGTCCTTGAGCAAGACACTCAACACCGGTGTGTGAGTGTTTGTGAGTGCGAATGGGTGAATGGCCAAGTAGTGTGAAAGCACTATGAGTGTGCTGCAATGCATAGAAAAGCACTATACAAGTATAAGAACATTTACCATGACTCCCTGGAAGCCAGTACTGACACCGAGGACATTTTCTTGCTGAAATGATGTAAATTTAACAGAAATCAGATGAGCGACTTCCTGTTTTTCAACACGATGGATAAATTGCAGCGTTCATAAAGATGCAATATTCCCAGTTACTATTGGGATAATGGCATGAACAATATTTTCAAGTTCTAGAATACATATTGTAACGCCGTGATGTGAACATGACCTTTACAAGCAGTTCATTTAAAAACCAGACAATTTTATTTAGAACAGCCAAACAGTAAAGACTCAGACTAAAAAGAGAACAATATGAGGACACGATCAAAGGCAATGTGATCTCAGTATCCTACTGTCCACGTTCTCTCTCTCTTATCATATCATCTTTCTTTCAGTCTCTGTTTTTCCTCACTGACGGACGTGGGGTGCCCAATCAGCTGTCTCGTCACCCACAATTCATTTCTGTGCTCTTTTGTGATTGGCCCGTGGTTACCATGGTGGCGACATTGGCTGTGGGTTCTGGAGGTAGGACATCACAACTGCTGAGATGGACAGCCTGCAGACAGCACAGGGAAACGAAGAAAAAGCCAGCATGTAAAGTGTACTGTTATACTGTAGTTTGAAAGTCACAGTCAAATAGTCCTTGACCATCTTGCTGCCTTATTTGAATGAATTTCCTGTTCAGAATCTTATTCGAGTGGAACATAAAGATTATTATCCCATGTTTATTAAAATTTTTTGTCTTCAAAGACAAAATTCCAAAGTTCATGATACAGGACTGACACCTATGTAACCAGTATTGGGATACGGACAAAGAGTTTAGCGATGCTGCAATTTTTCTTTCTTGTTTGCATTTGTTTCAGTCCTTGAGTAGCATTGTTTGTGGAGTGGAGGGATATGAAACCCTGACGGGTTTAACTCATCCAACATGACTGAAGGCAGGTTCATGTGCTAATCTCAGTAACACTGCCTGATAGCGCTTTCATCCCGTTTAGGCACTCACCTTTGTTTACAACACAGGGACACTTACATCATCTCTTGGCTAGTGGCAAATGAACTCAAACTGCCCTTGAACCACCTTCTACAACCATGAGGTTAGTGCATTGAGGTCACTGTAGGACATTATTTGCTGAGCCAAACATTTTGTGTTACTAAACTATGAGGGCCTCAAGGTTGTCTCCAGTACAGCCTCATCTAGACAATGGACCAGAAGGTTTTCCTTCATTGCAAATCTGTGTGTGAGGCCTGGACAAGTCCTCTACTGCAGGCTCTGTTATAAGCAAATGGAAATGTGCCCCACCCAGGGGTCACACAGCTGGCTCATGTGTGTGTGTGTGTGTGTAGACAGATAGATAGATGGAAATATAGGATGATGTGCTATAAGTGCTATAATCTCATCTTCAGGATAATATTCAATTGAAAGTCCATACACCACAACATTAAAAGACCTCTGAAGTCCAGCTTTCTGGACTCACCGACTTCTGATTTTCCCCAGGTCTCGATGGTACGACTCTCTCTGGCCAATACTGTTGTTAAATAGTAGCATGATGTGCTGTGCAGTGCACTGATGTTACAAGATAGAGATATTTGAGTTCGGCATATATTAGGATAAAATGCTACACAAGGAGGCCACACATAGTAAATCCTGTATGCATGAACATGGTTTTGTATACTCACATGAAACTGCTCATCATCTGCTTGGTGTCCTCTGAGCTTCTGGAGTTTGCAAAGCTAATAAAAGAGCAGTAGACTGCGATCCAGGCACACCACTTCAGCTGAAATGCAAACAGGTTACAAAGGTTAGCTCTACATGCTTGTGGAAGGTAACAATAAAATTCATATAATGGGACATCAGATGTTAAAGGATTTTTCTTTGGAGACAGATGAACTGTATTAGCACAGAGAAACCAGGCTCAGCAGTTGAAGCAGACAATGGAGATAAATGAACAACTATACTAGACAACAGCAAAGATGATAAAGACACTGAATCATGAACATCAAAATCCAAAGAACAAGCCATTATGAAGGCAAACGGTGACACTGCCCCTCCTTTGTGGGTACATGACTTTCATAGAGTATTTTGTTGGTGTTTCCATTACTTCATACATTCAGTCCTTTGAGTGCATATTTACAAAGTGCAGTGACAGAAAACCCCAAATCTGGCAGAATAAATCCATCCATCCATTTTCCTCCGCTTATCCGGGGCCAGGTCGCGGGGGCAGCAGTCTAAGCAAAGATGCCCAGACCTCCCTCTCTCCAAACACTTCCTCCAGCTCCTCCGGGGGAATGCCAAGGCGTTCCCAGGCCAGCCGAGAGACATAGTCCCTCCAGCGTGTCCTGGGTCTTCCCCAGGGCCTCCTCCCGGTGGGACATGCCCGGAACACCTCCCTAGGAAGGCGCCCAGGAGGCA